TCTAAGGAGGGTTAGGCTCATCCAATGGTCCCACCGCACGGTAATTGTAAATGATTCTATAATTACAGCCTTGCTGACCTGATTACAGCCTATTCTCTATAGCTCAGACAGGGCACATCTGGGAGTGGCTTCATGTATAAACTCAGGGACCAAAAGGCATTCGGTCTCTCCAAATTCTCCCTCAGCTTCTAATTGAGGTTCCACATATCACTGGTTAAAGTTCCATTCCTTTGATTGCACATTTTAACCCCTACTGGGTTATAGATAGCTTTAAGCAGAAAGTCCCCAAACTGTTATCAATAATACACCTGGTGTGGATGAAGATGGTAAGAGCAGCTTTGCCAGGGGTTTAAGGCAGAGAAAATTGGAGTGCCCAGTATCTGGAAGCACAAGGAATGGTGACGACCTGTTGACGTACTGCTGTGCTGCGTTTGTCATGTATTTTTGGCAAGTGACTTGAAGCAAAGTGACGCATTAGATCCAGGGGCTCTTCACTGAGGGGAGCTTTGCCCAGCCCTTGGCATGCCCGTGCTTTCTTCCTGCCCAGGTGATAGCTAACAGGACACTGACAGTCCCGTCACTATGGAGCTAGATCTCTAACTTGGTAACTTGGTTCATTTCAACACTCAACCTAGTCCAGCATAAGCCAAGTTCAAAAAAAGAAGCGATGCCTGGAGTCTATCACACCAACAAATGGTGATGCTATTTTTCAGGTTGAAATTTTCCAGAGCTGTTCACAGACGTATTTACACTATCGGATGTTTATGCAACTGATATTGCCTGGTTATTGTTCTGGGAAGCGAGGAAGGGATGTTTATGTGGAGATTTCAGTAAAAGCAAATGGGGTAGACTATGAAAGGCAGTCATTTGAAAACAAGGACATGGCACGGGCTTGTCCTCCCAGCTCTTGTGTAGACGCGCGGTGAGCAACACACTTCATAAACCGATTCCCTGTGCACATGCTGGTTCTGCACTGAGGGCTTCCTGGGGCAGAACAGGGCTCTCCTTTGTCCTCGCTGTCCTCAACCAATGAGAGTGGAAGCTGTTCTGTGCCTCTCCTCCCTGGAATCCTGTTCTCTCGTGGTTTCTGGCCTCAGCACAAAGCACTTCTCCTGCTGTCTGCTTGTCCTTTTCTGGCTCCCTGTCTAGCTCGTCTTTCTCTGCCATGGAATCTACAAATCCAATAAAGGAAAATCTGTCTGAGGCAGAAGAGACTAGCTTCCCTAGCTCGGGGCAGGTCCTTTAGGCCCCTGTGCCTTCCCACTTCAGGGAGGGAAGTCGTGGCAGCAATCGGGCTCAGTAGGCCTTGCTAGCCCTGCTGACAGGTGAGAGGCACACACTTCCTGAGCCAGGCTCAACAGCAGTGCCCAGTCATGCACTTTGGCAGCTGAGGGTGGGGTGGAGGGGTGGTAGGGGGGAGCACCCCATCCCACTTACAAAACTCACCTCCAGCAGGTTCCAGGAACCACAGAACCAGGTTTACAGATAGATGAAGGCTGCCCACCCCAGAGAAGGAGCAATGGTGACAATGATCCCACAGAAAGATGACTGTGGTGGCCCAGCAGTAAATGGCATTGACAGTGACCAGGAGAGAAAAATGCACCAGGTTCAAGGTGAAAGGTTCAGGCTCATGTGATGTATGACCACAGCACACGATAGACTGTAAGCTCTTTGAAGTGAGGTTCTTCTGTAATAGCTTATTCAGGGCTCAGGTATCAGGATCTAGCCACGGTGCTTGGCATGTGGAAAAAGTTCAATGAATGTCTATTTAAAAAAAAAAAAAAAAGAATGAACAGTAATGATGAATAAAGAAGATTTCATGACCCCATGGACCAAATTGCTAGCATGTGCCTGGAGAGCTGATGTGCTGGTAATGGTGCCCTTGTCCAGGCTGATGGCCGGGGATAAACTCCATAGCTCACGGGTCATCTGAGAGTCTCTGTATCTCCATGTCCTGTCCCAACCAGTTTCTGGTTCCGAGCAGGGGCTCAAAACATATTTCCTGAGTACAGTCAAATGTTTGTTCCACCCTTACATGTCCTTCAGTTTTGTTCTCTGAGTTTTTGAAACTATGATACTGTGGAAGAGAGTTCAATTCTTCTCCCCAGCACACCCAGTCCTGACCACAGCCCAGAGTCCTGGGCCACAGTCCCCCAAAGCAGCTGCCATTCCTTCCCACATAAGTCTGCTCCACCGGTGATGTCAACAGACAGTCTGTCACACGCCCCTAGGCTGTGTGGGTGCAGTCTGCCCTCTGAAAGGGGGTGGGGGGAGTCAGCATGTAGGAAGGGATCATACTGGGGTGCTTCTAGGAGCTGTTCCTTGGGTTCCAGGTAGAGCCCCATAGATTGGTGTCCCCTTATACCCGCCCTTACAGAGGTCCCCGTTATGTGGGCACCCCAGTTCCTTGACCAGGCCCAGTTTGCTCCAAGAGAAGTTTTCCTCTAGCCCTTCCCTGCACTGATTTTGCCTTGTCCAGGAATCCCCACCCATCCACAGGGTCTGACGTGAGGCTGCAGTCACCCCCTCTGACCAGACATCTGCAGGGCACATGCCAGTGCATAAGTTGGCTGAAATCTGAGGTAAGTCGGTAGGTAGGCTTGAGGGTGACCGTCCAAGAAGGGCTTTAGCTCTGAAAGTTCAAAGAACAGTCTAGAAAGTGACTCAGCTTCTGCCTCCAGACTCGGCCCTCAGTCGTCTTCTTTTTTTTTTTTCTCGCTGTCTCTTCTTCACTGACCCTGGCCTTGATATGGGCACTTGGGGACTCTATTGACATTGCTGTATCAGATTGTTGGTATTGGCATGAAAAAACCTGCAGACCCCCACATAGACCTTTCCAAAGACCAGGAGACCCCAAGAACTTGTGTAATCCTAAAATAAATTTGGGTTCGTCAATGTAGAAACACAAAAGGCTCTCTTTTAATTCCCAGAAACTTAGATTTTTTTTTTTAAAGATTTTATTGGGAAATTGGGAGAGGGGAACAGTGTTGAGGAATTGGGGAAAGGGAACAGACAAGTTGATGTTCTTTGGTTCTTCAATCTAGTTGTGGAGGACATTGCTTCACTGGCCCAAGTTGGCACCATCATTGCGCTCTTCCCCGACGAGGCAGATCGTTCACCGGCCTCTGGATGGCAGCTCACAGCAGCTGCTGGCCTCTCACGCTGGCTGCTGGCCACACATGGTAGCTTATGGCAGCCCACTGCAGCAGGGCTGCAGCCTATGCCGTCGCTGGCAACTCATGGCATCCCAGCTCCAGGTTGAGCTGTTGTTCACCATCTTAGCTGTGGAAGGCAGTGTCACTGGCCCTCATGTGGGATCTGAACCGGGGCCCTGCTGCTCAGAGCTGGCATCCTAAGCCAGCTCTTAACCAATGCACCACTTGGCCGGCCCCCAGAAACTTAGATTTTAAATGAAATTAATGTTCTTATTATAAAAAAATTCAGGATCATTGTAAATAATTTAGAGATTACATATAAGCCAAAAAATAAATAAAATCAGCCATAATTCTATCATCCAGCCATAACCATATTTTCACATTTGTGCATAGCTTTTCAGAGTATATTTATAGGGTAACTGTGTGGAGTAACTTAGTATCTATATACCATTTTCCCCTACAAGTGACCTGCTTCTTTATTACCAATATATTACAATATTGTCTCTATGTTATTAAATATTCTTCTAGGACATTTCTAAAGGTTGCCACGCTTCCTTTATGGCTATACTATTCCTCATTAACCAGGCCCTGTTGTTAGCCAGTTATGTTGTTTCAAACTTTGACTAAGTATTTAAAGAGCTGTAAGAAAAGTCCCTGTAGCTACATCTCTGCTTACATTCATGGTCCTTTCCTTGTGATAAATTCTGGGACCTGGAATCGCTGTGTTAATGCTGTTGCCAAATAGCCTTCTAGAGAGCCTGACCCTGGTCATCCTCCCACACACACCTCCAGCCACAGATGAGATGCCTTTCAGAAATAGGAAATTTAATAAGTAAGTAATTTAAGGGGGGCCAGCTGAGTGGCTCATTTGGTTAAAAGTTGGCTTGGGAGTCCAAGCTCTGACCAGCAGGGCCACCTGTTCGAATCCCACATGAGCCAGTGATGCTGCGCCTTCTACAGCTAAGACTGTGAACAACAGCTCTACCGGGAGCTTGGCTGCTGTGAGCCACCATGAGCGGCCATCCAATGGCCAGCAACCGACAGCCTCAGCCGGGAAGAGCGCAATGATAGTAATATCAACATGAGCCAGTGAAGCGACGTCCTCCACAACTAGACTGAAGAACAAAAGGACAGCAACTTGTCTGTTCCCCTTCCCCAATTCCCCAATTAAAAAAAAAAAAGAAATTTAAGGGTGATCAGGAACTGTTGCTCCCCCAAATGAGTCTTCTCTCTCCTCTTCAGAATGTGGTTTAAAAAGGCTTTAGCAAGATTTTTCTGTTTTAATTCTACAGAGAAAATGATTTATGGCTCAAGAAATCCTCATAACCACTCATGAGTGAGGATGAGAGAGAGGACTTTCTGTACATGCATTCCATTCCTAATTTCCCATATGCTCGGTGTTTATTAAATTGAATCCTGGGTCTTCCCTAGAATTTTTGTCACCCAAGCAAATGCCTCTGAAGCCGGAGGAGAGGGTAAGAGTGTTCTTTCCAAGAGGCAGCACTGAAAATACACACCACACCACAAGTATATTTATACAGAGGTGCTGTGTCACCTGGGGCAAATTTCCTCCCCCTTCTGTGCCACGGTGCCAGCCACCTAACCTGAGGGGCTTGCTGCAGTGGAGCCATGGCAGCCCACCCAGAGGCTCTGCCACTTGTCTGAGATCCCTTCCTCATGCTGTGGCTTGTTCTCTTTTTGCTGCTTTTCGGATGGCTGGAATATGTGTGACGCCTGGGATGTCCTTGAGGCAGGCAGGCCAAAAGGGGAACTGGCAGCCCCTTCCCATCTGGATACCGTACAAGGCAGGCAGGATTGAGAGGCTGAATGTTTATCTCCCGCGCTCTGGACCTGCCTTATTTATAGCCCTGTTGGCAAGAACAGGCAACTGGCCGACAGCTGCACACACGGTTGGGGTAACCCAACAGAGTGGTTGGCCCCCGCAGCACTGCTGCTGTCCCCTATGATCAGGCTGGAGAGCAGAAGACAGGACAGGTAAGAGCCCAGTTTTGTCCCCTCTCTTCCCTCTCCTTTGCTGTCCATCCATCCCGGCTCAGACACTGGCTAAGCTTCCTGCCCTGGAAGGGAGCTGTCTGACACTGTGGACCCGCAGACCCCAGGAGAGACCCAGGTGGCACTGGCAGCTGCTCCCATGAGCAGAACAACTCCTGCGCTTGGACTGGGCTGCAGTAGAAGAGCAGAACGTACCCTCCCCAGGTGCCTGCAAGAACATAAAGAATGTGGGAGCGCCCTGATTCCTCTTCCCCTCTTGGAGTGGGAATCAGGAATTTATACTGAGGTTTCAACACCGGAAAGCTTTTTTTCAAAGGGGGCAGAAAAAGCAAAAAAATATATAACACAAACATTGGAGGGGAGGGAACCACAGTGCTCTTGCGTTTTTTTCGCCCTGAAAGGATTTCCAGATAGCCTGGGGTGAAAAGGCAAATTACTGATGAGTCTGATTACACTGGGAAAGTATGTTTATACAAGATGACTTGCTATGGCTGATGGTTCAAAAGTACAGATAGCTGTTGTGTGCTTTAAAAGGAAATGTTTTCCTAATTTCTAGAGCAGAACATACGCAAAATGCACAGTACTCAGTAATGCTCAGGCCACTGGCGTAATAATGTTAATACTGATAGAATGACATATATATGATCATAGGTATCATACATATAAACATCTGTTAGCCAGCCTCCATTGCAAGGCACTTTATCAAGTCCAATCTAAAAAGAAAAAGAAAAAAACAAACCCAAAACTGTCAGACGACAAATTTTTTTTTCCCATGAGGTCAAAAGATAGTCTTAACACTAGCATTATAGGTTAATGCTATTTTATTACATATTTGCTCTATATAGGTTTGTTGTTTTACTTGTTTCTTAAGGAACGTTGTTTAAATTTTGTTTTACTGCTAGATTTATAACAACAAGATGTGCTATAATAGTCTATTACATTTTAAGATCCATCCTATCTTACAAAGGTGTTTATATGGACTAGCTAACCAATCAACTCAAGTGATCACATTTTTGAGGTTTTTTTCTAATATCAAGAAAATATTTTAATGTGTGACTTCCAGGAAAAGTTGCCTATTTTTCCACAAAGCATTCTCTGACTGCTCACCCACCCTCTTGCCTGCCTTTGAGCACATTTTGCATTTTCAGATTTCATCACCCTGTTCAGTGCTCCAGAGTTCTCCATTGCTTACAGATCCTGGAAACCAGGCCACGCTGCACCTCTCTCTGCAGTCCTTAACAGCTCTTAACACAGCTACCTACACACTTTCTACTGGTCTCTAACGTATTTCATATGTACAATAGATGGCCAAGAAACACTGAGTTTAAATCATCCTCTTCCCACTGTTAAAAAAAAAAAAGTTCAACTGAATGAATGTTAAAGCTCTTACTGGTTTTATTCAGTAATTCATGAATTGGGCAGCATCCCATCTAGCAGACAGAAAAGGAGCTCCAAGGAGCTGTACAAAATGGAAGACTTTTATAAGCATAAGGGAGCAGGAACAAGAAAATTATACTATGCAAAACAGTGGTTGGTTATAGCCAGGTGATTGCCCTTTAGGGGATGGCAGTGTCTATCAGGCAGATTGCCTCACTAGTGTTGATCGGGTGATTCCTGATTGACTGGTTTGAGAGTCCACTTCTGGGAGAGCTAAAACTGTAATTAAGTCTCAGTTTGGTGATGTGAGTCTTAGCATAAGTGATTCCATTTGGGGCCTGTTGTCTTGTTTTCAACACCACCAAAGAAAGAGGTGAAATTATATTCATAGCATTTATATTTTCTTTTGTTTTTTTCTTACTATACAAACATATGTTCACCATAGAAAATACAGACCAGCGGAGACAAGGAAATGGAAAATGATGTGTAGTCTTACTACTCAAAGATAAACACTTAGCATTTTATTGTTTATCTTAACTATTTCTTGATTCTAAGAGGTTCTTGATTATAAGACCAACCATTAATTTAATACTAGCTTTAAAAGAGAGGGGGGAAAAAAATCCCCACTATTTTGCACACTGATGTATTTTAAGATGAATCTAAAAATAATAAATTATGGGGGAAATATAAATTATAATTAAGGAATGTATATATACACGATCAAGTTATTCAGGAACCTACTTTTTGTCCAATTTATAGTCAATTTACTTCCACTGTGTAGTCAAACTCAAATTCTTTGAAAATTGGTTATCTCTATATAACATTATGACTTCTTTCATTTAACCAGAATATGAAAATATTCATAATAGTTGGATAAATGGGAAGCAAAAAAGAGCATAAACTGACATTTAGATAAGTAATTTTTATCACAATATAACTACTAATTTCTACATTGTTAATGCTACCTACTGAACAGTGAATAAACTCAACTGTCTTGTGCCTTGATCTATATGCCACCCAAAACTTGTTTGACTGATTTTCTTCATTATCATTAATTTGTCAGCCTTTCATCACTTAGTTGCCAATATACCAAAATAAGGATGAAAAGTGGAAAAAAACTAATGTAAGTTCTGAGCACTTTGGTGTTTAACAAATGCATTTCATAAATATCATGAATTTTTTAAAGTGTAAGCTTATTAAAATAAAATCAATTTTAACTTTGAGGACAATTTTACAATTTGGGAGTTTGTTTGAATTTAAAAGATAAACTTATATAGAGAGAAGAGGAATAAAAATTCATTTTAATGGAAGGGTTTTGTTACAATTAGTAATGCTGAAAAGTTAAACTGAAGTAAAACCATATTAAGGTAACAAAATATAAAATATGCCCCGTGTGGTTTTATTAACAAGTCTGTGTAACTAAATTTTAAGGGGAAGGTGCAACAATTTCATTGTGGATTTTAATGAAAATCCTGGGACCTGTCTGATCACCCTGAAAGGGGTGGGGTATCTGAAAGGACAGTGGGGACCAACTATTTTCATGTTAAGTAAAGAGCTCTTTTGACTTAGGTGCAAGTCTATGCTGATAAATCTCAACTAATTTCAAAACGTCAGTCTGTGGATTAGCATGAACACAAAATAGAAAAATTCATGATGTTGATTACTCCTCTTCTCTCTAATTTATAGCCTTGGTAAGGAGATAAAATGGATAATATAAAGGCACAAAGGGTTATGTGACAACATATTATATCTAATAGCTAAAATGATGAACAGTGCACTTGCCCAAAGGAGGGTGTGGTTAAATTTATTGTGTTATAGCCATAGTATGGAGTATATACAACCATTGAAAAGTTTGCATAGAATTTTTAATTTTTTAAAGTCAGAATACAAAGCTATATTAATAATATATGATCCCAACTGTGTAATATATATGTGTATATGTATATATTTATAAATACTGGAGAAGTATAACCAAAATATATAAAATTATTGTTTCCAAGGGATGAGTGGTAGTAGTAATTTTATATTTTCTCTACATTTTAAATAGTTCACTAAATGTTCTACACTGAGACTAATCATGAAAGTTTTTTTATTGAAAAAATTGCATTCAAATATTAAGCATCCCAACTATTGTCACCAATTATAAAAACCATAAATAACCAACAAAAATTGCCAACCTCTTAAAAATAATAGCTAAAATTTATCGAACAATCACTGTATCCAGGAACTATGTATTAGCTCACTTAATGCTCAAACTACCCTATAAGTGCTATTTATTTTATTATTTTTTTTTAAGAAATAATAATATATTCTTTTTTTTTTAAAGATTTTTATTGGGGGAATTGGGGGATGGGAGCAGTGCTGGGGAATTGGGGGAAGGGGAACAGACAAGTTGCTGTCTTTTTGTTCTTCAGTCTAGTTGTGGAGGACGTTGCTTCACTGGCCCAAGTTGGCACCATCATTGCGCTCTTCCCGGGCAAGGCAGATCAGTCGTCGGCTTCTACACACGGTAGCCCATGGCAACCCACTGCCACAGGGGCTGCAGCCTACGCTGTCGCTGGCGACTCACAGCAGCCCAGCTCCAGGTCGAGCTGTTGTTCAGTATCTTAGCTGTAGAGGGCAGTGTCACTGGCCCTTATATGTGGGATCCGAACTAGGGCCCTCTGGAGTCCCAAGCCAGCTCTTAACCAACGTGCCACTTGGCCAGCCCTATTATTATTATTATTAATTATTATTATTATTATTATTATTATTATTATTCCTATTTTCAGATAAGGAAACAGATTTAGAACAGTAATATCCACTGCAGAAGCTGCAACCAAGTTAAAGATATGGCCTGGCTTCAAGGACTTTGTAATCTAGTTGACATTAGAATACCATAGAGCAATGTTAAAGCCATACGCAATGAAGTGTGGTTTGAATGGCAATCACATATGCTGTAGGAATGGTAGGTAATAATCCTATAGGAATATCACTTGGAATAAGAAGGGTATACTTGGAGTAAATTTTTCATGGAAAGCAATATGAAGCCTAAAGGAAGTTAGGAATTATAAAAGGAAAGCCGAGACTGGTGGGGAAGAATGTGAACAATATGGATGTGGAAATAAAAAGGATTTGTCCTGCCAAACGAAGGGTGCGTTTGCAGGTACAAGGAGATGTGCTAAATGTGCCTGTGTTGGAGAGGGATAGCAGTAACGACTCAGGGACTAGGCCACTTGACTTCTCTTTGTTCTCTTTGAGACATTTCTAAAAAGTCACATTTTGTAAGAGGAAATGAAGAGGTCTTTTGGCTTTCTAAACTGGAAAAACAAACAAAAAAACTAAAACCTTCCCTGTAAAGAATCTGAACTGAGACTAACTTGAATTCCAAATTTAAAATAAAATGAAACTCTAGGTTAGAGAGGTGGTAGGTGGGGTCGGAGTGCCCGCCCAGGGCACACTCCCATGGGATCCACACAACAGCTCTGTGAGGGCTGCTCTGGTTTCCTCCATCATATATGAGGAAGCCGAGGCGCTGAGAAGTAATGTGGCTCGGAGCCAGTAGGTGGAGGAGCTGGTCTTTGAACCCAGGCAGAGCAGTGCCAGGACTGACATGCATCCAACCA